GAGTTGAGCTGATTTTCCATCCAAGATTTAAAGTCGAAAACTGATCAACGACTTCTGACTTGTGCGTGATAAAATAGGCCATCACGAATCTCGAAAAATCGTCGATGAACATGACGACGTATCTTGCTCATCCTTGAGACGTGGTCTCCATTGGACCCATCACGTCGCTATGGACGACTTGAAGGAGGAAATCGTCTTGACTTGACCGTATCCCGATTTTGGAAATGGCTTGACTGTGGACTTTCCAGTCACACATCCGTCACATATTTCATCTTGTTCGACTTCATCTGAACAGAGATTCTTGACCTTAAAACCGCTCACTTGATCTTCGATGTTGTTTAGCGTCTTCATCGGTACGTGTCACAATCGGATATGCCAGACGCTTGCATCAACTCGGTTCGAAACTTCGCCGGCTTCTCCGCTCATGTTCGCTGACTCCGTTGGAATGCAATTCAACACGAGTTTGTCCCTTTGAGGAATCTTGGTAACAACGTCTTGACCATTTTTGATCATGCACATTTTGTTGCCGAATTTAGTCCTTTTTTCGATAAAGCTGAAATCGAATGCAATCAGCGGTCTAAATCCGGAACCTATAAACGTTTTTGATCCTGATTGGAGCCTTGTTCCTTAGAGTAACTCGAATCGTTTCGACTCGGGCAGCCATTATATTGCCACCATTAGCAACCGAGATGGCGATTGGCGAGTCGAGTGGTCGAACTTCCTTGATCTCATCTTGAAATAGACACATGTGGCTACTTGCACCACTGTCCAAAATCCAACCTTCAGCATAGTGTTCTAAAACTGTGAACGTTTGTTCTTAATTCGACCTTCTTTCATAAGCTGGGTTGGACGTACTATGATTTGTCTTCTTGCAAAATTGGCACGTTATCTTCGGCTTTCTCCATCCACCTTTAGGCCGAGGACCCTTGTTCATTTTTTCGCGCTCACGCGTGGCCTTCAGAGCAATTTTGCTGCTCTCCTTTCGTGTGAAGCTGTCGTATTCGCGACGAAGCATCTCCTTTGCTTGGAACAAGTCCATTTGGCGATGTTATCGATGATCTTGATCATCTGGTCGTATTCGCCGGGCAAACTCCCTAGGAGGATGACGAGTTGTTTATCGTACGAGACTTCTTCGCCTATTGCATTCATTGCCATGCATAGCTCGTCGAATTTCAAGAAGCGGTCTATGATGTTTCCACCCATCGACATCTTAAACTCGTGGAGTTTTCGGCGCATCTGTACCCGGTTGTGGATACTGCGCCTCAGGAAGAAGTTCTTGAGCAACTTCCAAGCTTGATCAGTCGACTGTGCATTGCGCACCATCGACTGTAGATTGACGCTGATCATCGTAAAATTTGTCGCGAAGGCCTTCATGTCGTTAACTTTCCACTCTAGCGCCTGGGCGCTGTCGTCACTCGTGGCCTTCGTTGCGTCGATATGGATCAAAAGACCCTTCTTTGCAAGCTTCATCCGCGCGTTGAACTCCCATACGAAGTAATTGTCGTCGCGGAGAAGGTCGCCTGCGTCGTTAGTTGTTGGGCTCATAACCTTTTGAGGATTGTAGCTGACGAGACTGTTGGTAGAGTGAGAAAAATGAAAAGTGATTGATTAAATTGCTTGCTACATTTGCAATGGTTCATAGGCTACTGTTGAAGCTGAATACAAGCTACTTCACCTTCAACTTCAACCTGATCCTGGTTCTGGTCTAGTTAGACTTTACCGACTTCAATACTTGAAGTTGGATATGTCGACAGCGGATCATCCGCAGACCGATGGTCAAACCGAAAGGGTGAATGGCGTCATCGAAGACA